CGTATGTTTTGGACACTCGGGTAAAGAGAGGAGCAGAGCTGTCAACTGATCACCACCTGGTGGTGAGTTGGATCCGATGGCGGATCCTCTGGCAGAGGCCCCTGTCCATGGGATTTTCAATTCCCACCTCCGGAAGAGTTTTTCCTGCATCCCGGGGGAGGTTGGGGACATGGAGTCAGAGTGGTCCATGTTCAAAGCCTCCATTGCAGAAGCAGCCGTTCGGAGCTGTGGCCAGAAGGTCACTGGTGCCTGTCGCGGCGGCAATCCCAAAACCCACTGGTGGACACCGGCGGTGAGGGAAGCCGTCAGGCTGAAGAAGGAGACCTTTCGGGCCTGGTTGGCTCGGGGGTCTCCTGAGGCAGCAGGCAGGTACCGGCTGGCCAAAAGGGCTGCAGCTACGGCGGTCGTGGAAGCTACAACTCGGGTGTGGGAGGAGTTCGGGGAATCTATGGAGAAGGACTTTCGGTCAGCCCCAAAGAAGTTCTGGCAAACCGTCCGACGCCTCAGAAAGGGGAGGCAGGGATTCACCCAGGCTGTGTACAGTCGGGGAGGAGAACTGCTTACCCAGACTGGGGACCTCGCTGAGCGGTGGAAGGAACACTTCGAGGAACTCCTGAATCCGGTAAACACGTCCTCTGATGAAGGGGCAAAGCCTGAAGACTCGGGGGCTTCTGCGTCCATATCCGTGGTAGAAGTCACCGAGGTAGTTAAGAAGCTCCCCAGTGGCAAAGCGCCAGGTGTGGACGAGATTCGCCCTGAGATGCTGAAGGCTCTGGACATTGTCGGACTGTCATGGCTGACACATCTCTTCAGTGTCACGTGGGCATCGGGTACAGTGCCTGTGGAGTGGTAGACCGAGGTGGTGGTTCTCATTTTTAAAAAAGGGGATCGGAGAGTGTGTGCCAATTATCGAGGTATCACACTTCTCAGCCTCCCCGGGAAAGTTTACTCTACGGTACTGGAAAGGAGGCTTCGGCCGATTGTCGAACCTCGGATTCAGGAGGAGCAATGCGGATTCCGTCCTGGTCGTGGAACAGTGNCCGCCCCAACCCGTTTCAGTAACATCACCTTACTGTTACCAGTACGAATCAAACGACACATGCCATCTGCAGCGCAGCATTATAATACCTAGATGAACATGTCAAAAATCGACAGTAGGTTTGAAGAAAAAAAAAGTGTTTGTTTTTTGATGGAAAGTATTATTATTGAAAAATGTGTGTCGATTGAGCCACGTGCAATGCATTGGGTAGATCATTGTGTTTGTCTGTTAGAGATTTTTAAGAAAGCTAAGAGAAAAGAGAAAAAAAATGTATTTGTTTCAAGTCCGTAAGCTCCGGGACTCTAAACTAGAGGGCCATGAAAAATCCTAGTCTTTGTATGTTGGGGGTATTTGTTTTTATTTCCTTTGTCTCTTTTTTTAATGTTTTATGTGTAATCATTTGTTTATAAAAATGTGGGAGGGCTGAAGGAAAAAAAAAATCTACACAATTTCAGAAAAAAAAAAATCTTTATCATCAGATGAAAACTGGTGCTTTAACACTATAAAGTACATTCAGAACTATTATAAATGAATGAACAAAAATAACTGACCATTTAGGAAACAGCATTATTCCTCTCTCTATTTGTATTCTTCTTGTATTGAGTAGGGGGAGAGGTTCCTATTCCTTAAGGTTGTGACACAAAAGGCATTTTGGTTCAACCTTTAGAAAAAAAAATGAATGAAACAAACCCATACTGTCAAGCCTAAGAAACTCCTCAGATAACTTACCCGTGCACTGCCTGAAACCCACCAGCAAAAACAAAACAACTCTCCCGATTCAATTAATTTCTGCTACATGCATTGGCATAAACACATGACAAGTTCCTCCCTGTACTGTGAGAGATGCTTCACATCCAGAAACTTTTTTATTTCCATTATCATCTCGATACGTTTCTGAATCTTGGAGCTGGATAGAGCTCAGTAGGTTGTGTTGAGACACCTGAAGTTGTAGTGAACCGACTATTCACTTAAGACCTTCTGTACAGATAACAGAAGCAACAAAGGGGCAAAAGTAGCTTATAATCAGGCGTAAATATGAGGTCTGAGCCATTTATGAAACAGGCAGCAAAGTGAGCCTCTCCCCTGTTCCACCCCCTCCTCTGTAAATGACTCTTATAGTGCTTGTGCTGTAGTGTATAGTTTCCCAGCAGTTAAAGGTTGTCCCTTGAAAGTGCCTTTTGTTCACAGACTCCATTTTGTAATCCAGATCGCCCTTTTTTTCGAAACAGCTTCGAGGTAGCAGGTTGCCCCTGAGAGCTGTACGGAGGCTAAAAAAGGTTGTTGCCCAGTTCGGCGCTCAGGGACAACTTCTTTTCCTCCAGCTTCGAAATAAATCCTCTCCATTGTTCCTCCCCTCTATCCCCTCTTCCTTTTCCAAGCTGTATATATATGTATATACACGTACATATATATATAGTACAAAAGGAAACTGGTGTGAATTAGTTCTTTACTTTTTATTGATAAATGACAAAAAAAAATTTTGAAAAGGCAAAAAAACTTGTTCTCGTTCAGCTCTTGCTTTTTTCTTCCCCTCTGTCTCCACTGTCTGTTTTCTCTTAGACACTGGAGTAGTCTGTAACTGTGTGTCCGTCACTCTCCGTCTCTCTCTCTCTCTCTCTCTCTCTCTCTATCTATCTATCTATCTCTCTCTCCCACCCTCTCCACTGTTTGGGAGGGTGAAAAAAAAATATTGCCGAAAAACTTTTGTCTGAGCAGAATGCAGTTAGCTCACATGTTATTCTTGTCTGTATGCTTCACATTGTATTACCATACCCATCTTCTTCAGCTTCTCCATTCAGCAGCTAATGTAAGTGAACAAATTACGCTGACGGGCTTTTGGGGGTGTCCTTTGGGTGGGTTTAGGAAGGGACGACAGGGGTTCAGGGGTTTGGGTTGAAGAGGTTTACGGAGAAGTTGAACGGGGTCGAGAGGGCTTTGATGAACTTGCTTTGGGAAGTGTTAGAAAGGGGCTGCTTGGATTAGGATAAGAGTTTGCCCCTTTGTTTTAGCTATTTATATTTTGGCTTTGTTTTACTCTCTCACCCCCCACCCCACCCCTTTTTTTTTTTTTTTTTTCTTTTTTTCGTTAATACACTTCCTTCACTAACCATAATCACGTGTGTTTCACTTAGTTTCCGCGAAACTTTAGTGAAAAAGTCCAAAACTGAAAACAGATTTGTGTATCAGCCCACTCCTTTTTTTTTTTTTTTATTTCCTTTTAATTTGGATTTCTTTTTAATATTTGCTATCAGGGTATGCTGTCATTTAGGCTCTCTTTGAGGGCGCCTTGGACTGTAAAGTGAAAGCTACAAGCACCTTATCACCGGACTTGTCCTGCATGAGGCTGGAAGAGGGGATTTTGCATTTCCAGGATGAATCCCACATCCATTCAAACCAATCCTTTAAAGTGAAGTATTGTTTTTCACAGTGGGTTTCTCACATCGAAACTCTCAGCAGTATTAGCCATTTACAACACACCAACCAAATAGATAATAGACCAGCGTGAACCTGATCTGTCAGACCTTTTTTTGACGATTCAGGGAAGTCCCTCCATTTTTTTTTCTCCTCAGAACACCTCATGCTGGATTGCTCCGTGTCTTTGTTCTGTTGTTTATTTTGTTCTTTATCTTAAGTGTGTATGGTTATTGGTGAATTAGGCAGCACCCTAGGCCCCCTGACTCCCAGCTCTTCTACGCCTCTGTCTGTGCCCTCAGTGCAGCACCACTTCTTTGTGAGAACACCCCCAGAGCTCTAGGTGAAATGCATGTGTTAATTACAGTTTCTTTTCCATAAGAAGAAAAACAGTTTGAGAAGAGCAGCATCTGATTGAATAAAAAGGATGTTCTTGACTGTACCACCTTGCTGTGTCATGTCTTTCTGTCTGCTAATAGTAGCACAAATACGTAAATCTACATACCAGTGCAACATTACTGGAAAACACACAAATTCTTATGTGTAAAATCTCTATAGCTTCTTTTAAATTATTCTGATTGAACAAGTAACTGCATGTTGAAAATATCTAGCAAATGCAGGAAACTATGAAACTATAGGAGAACAAATTCTCACTGTTGATTTGCTGTCCACATTGTTGTTCTAGCAAGTTTGCATTTAACTATTAAAAATTAAGACACTTTCCCTCTCGCGCCACAATGAGTTTCACATTTCTGCTTATAGGCACAGTTGCTAAAATTTGGGACACAGATTCCTGAATTTCTGATGACCTGGCTTTTAAAGGTTGCGATTTTAATTTGTCCATAGTTATGTTTATAGCCCCTCGGATGAGTCTCAACTACACTTTGATTTTCAACATCAGCCTGAACACTTCAAAATACCTGCTAGACGTCAGCGTGTTAGTATTTCACTTGATGTACAGCCTCACAGCCTTTGTTGCATCTTTACACCAAAGTGTTTACAAAATGATGCTGTACAGCTAACCAGTTGTGAGATTTCAAAACAGGTTTATTTTATAAAGACACTGCTAACTGGCGAACAAATTGGTCCAAATGTGCATATAAATAAAACCATTAAAATATGATGTTACACAAGCAATAAATAGTCATAAGCAACATACACTGAAAGTGCTTTCTGTTTTACAATCTAAAGGTAATCAGAAGGTAGCGTTAATATGAAACCTCAGAAGTGTTAAAGAAAAGATTTTCAAGTGCTGGTTTTTA